GCTCGAAAGTAAACAAAGCAGTGGCGGAGTAGGACGAAGGACTAGGAACTTTACCCACACAACCTCTCCTCGGACTTGATTCGACGAGACGACCACCATGCCGAGTATCCTAGAGGCGTGCGAGGATCTCTTCGGGGTCTCTTGCCTCTACAAGGTGTTGGGCGTGGAGAAAAGCGCCCGGGAGAACGAGCGTGAGTGTCCCGCCAGGCCGAGGGGGGCGACGGCGGCCTCCAAGGGCAATATGGGAGGAAAGAGAGTGACATGACTTCGATTGACCTTATTTCGACGCCGGTTTGGTTGTTTTTCTTGAAGATTTTGGTGTTGTTTTGTTGTTTATGGGTTGGATTTTTGCTTGTCACGGCCTGGAATTGTATCTACGCACATACCATATTTTTGGCATGGGCTTCGTAAGGGGTCCTTTCCCGCGCTGTCAGGCCCTCCTAAAGGATTAAAAACTCTGTAACGACGCCTTAAACCATTTTGGTTATGAGATTACCTTGATTAATTAAAGAGAATAAGGAAATTATAGTCACATACCTTTCATAACTTTTTGCAACATTGAAAGATGTCTTTTTTCAGGGGTACAGCAAATTGTGTGTAAATGTACATATATTTGCCACCAGTGCAAGTACATATGTTGGCTTATGATTTTATGGTAATAGTTCCCTATTAGTTTATACTGTTGTTGAAAGTTCACTTTTTCTAAGAGGGTTCTAAGGATAAAAGCAGTGATTATTTTTCAGTCATTCAGTTACCAAATCTGAACTCAATTTTTATAGGGAGTTTTTAATACTTTGTATTGCAATAATTCACCATCGTCATTAGCCCTTCACCAATTTGTAGTATTATATGCCAGTTATAATTTGATTTGTATAAAAGAAAGTAGATTATATGATGCTTTATTATTTTTTGTCTCAATTTCATTTTGATTTATGAAATAAGATGAAATATTTAAAAAAAAACTACTTATAATTTTTTCCCTTTATTTTAGTAGAAATAGGACTTTAAGTCAATGCAAAGTCATTTTACAAAAGACTGTTTTTATAGGAATATACATGTAATTTCTCATTTTATTTTTCAGTCAAGAAAGCTTATCACCGGGTGTCACTGAAAGTCCACCCTGACAGAGTGAGTGACGATGATAAGCAAGAAGCAACACAGAAGTTCCAAACTTTAGGCAAAGTCTACTCCATCCTCTCCGACAAGGATCGACGAGCTGTGTATGATGAGACAGGTATGTTATGTATGAAGGAAATATGCTTGCTAACATGATGTGTAGCATATGTCTTTTTTATCCTTTATTTTTTGCCATGTGTGTTCTTTGTTCTTATTGTAGGTATTAAAATTATCTTATGAATCTTGAGACTCCTCTGAATCCTCTTACTATGGTTTTTAAGCTGTAGACTAATTTGCAACTAATCTTATATATTTTATGATCTGTTCCTGAATATGGAAAAAATATTGCAGGAGAAGTCGATGATGAGAACCTGGCCCCTGATGACCGTGACTGGGACCAGTATTGGAGACTTCTCTTCAAAAAGATCACTGTGGATGATATCAAGAACTTTGAAGAGTCTTATAAGGGTATGCATAAAGGGTGACCCATCTATCAGTGGATTCCCTTCAATGTTATTTTAGATGCTTAAATTATAAGAGATATAGTGTATTAAATATGATAATGTCCTCGTGTCCTTAAATCAAAATATGTAAAAAGAAAAAGAAAAAAAAACTTTAGTTGAATTAATTTTCATAGTAAAGATTGATATGAAGTATCATGTTAAAAAACAGTTGTATGATAATATCTTGTATTATCATATTTAAAGATGCTACCGTATTATGGAAAAGTAGACCATGATAAAGGATAATGACCTTTAAAGGAACCTAAATGAGACTTGGTTATTTTGAATTGATTTGAATTGAATTTCTTGGAGGGGAAAAAAAAAATCTTATTATCCTTGTTAATGTTACTATTTTTGTTGCTGTTATTATTGTCATTATCATTATGAGTATTATTATGAATATTATTGTTCTGGTTACTATTATTGTTATTTTTATTATTACTATCATCATTCCTTGGTAACTAAGGGCTTGCAGGACCATCAATGTAAAAAGAGAACAGTGTACCCCAGTGAAGATACCCCTATTTGAGGTAGATTTAGCTGAGAGAGGGATTGGGCTGCCTTTCTCCTTATTTTTGTTTATGATAACCTTAAACTTACCTAATTGAAGAATGTAACAACATTAACACATTATAATGTAAAAGATAGAAAATAATTAAAGGTATGCAAAGATATCTTTGAATTCTGGCATTATTGCATCATAAATAACATTATTGGCAAAGGTATATGCTTTGCAACAGTCAACGTCATCATTTATTGATGTGCTGTATGAACCAGTGTGGTTACTTAGATTGTTAAATTTAATGTTGTTATTATCTCTAAGAGGAAGCACTTTTCTCCCTATCAGATTTGTCATTTGCAAAGCAGACTTGTTTAAACAGGAATGCTCCTATTTATCAAATGGGAAGTAAACAATTTCTGGAAACTTCTTAATTTACATTCATAGTCTTTGATCCCCCCCCCCCCCCCAATCCCATGTCCATTGTTATTATAGGGGGGGAGGGGCATAAGAGACGGGAACTGAGGCCCATTGTTAGGGATTTCCCCTACCTTGGGCCTCACTCGTTAACTTTTCTATTCTCCCTCTTTCCTTTACCCTCTCTTCTCCAATCTCCTCTTCTGTCCACATCCTAAGGTGTAAGACCTGTGCTGAAAAAATGAAATGTTGGTTTTGTGTCAGTCGTGAAGGGCCTCTTAAGGGGCCATAGGCATGTTATTCCCTCAGTTAAACATGTAGCCCTTACCCTTCTTGGGGTTCCTGAGAGATAAACTGGTTCTCTTCACTGTATATATCAGGCTCACCATGGCCAATAATGAAGATTTTGTACCTTTATTAGGGGCACTGAGCTCTGCCCCTTCATCAGCTAGCTTATCAAAAATTTACTTTTTACGATTCCCGATCCCTGCCTCTCCTTTGCTTGTTGTCAGCTTGATCCATTCCAAATCATCCACCCAGGCCATTACCCAATCTTCAGAAGACATCCCTTTCTCTCCCAGTATCCAATTCATCTCCTTCTCCTGCACAGTCTTATTCATTTTCTAACCCCTCTTTTCATATTATTACTCTTCATCCTTCTTGTCCTCCCTATAGTACTACCTCACTCTGCAGCGCTATCACTTACTTCTGTCCTTGTCTTTCTGCTACTTCCACTGTTACAAACCATTTGTCTACTTTTTTAGTCCAGCCAGGTGGGATCAGTTCTTTGTGATTCCCCTTACAGCCCTTTACCCTGACAATATTCACCTCTATCAACAATGTCTCCAAAAACGAGTTGGTTAAGTTTCCTTCTGCAGCCATCCCAAGTTTTCACACCATGTGATTGTTACATCTGAATCCTCATCTTGTGCATTATCTACCCTTACTGACTCCACTACTAAACCTATTCCTGCCCTACCTAGTTCTTCCCTTAATACTTGTTCTGGAACTGTTTTCTTTTCCCCGGCTGATTGCCCTGTTTGCAACAAGAATTGGTTAGACCAAAAATAACCGCTTGCATCAATGTCAGAAATGTTGGCATTTTAGCCACCCTGCTCTTCAACCTGCTGTTCTCAATGTGCAAACAAGTGCCAATTGTGGTGGCTCCCATAATATATTCTACAGAAGCTGCTCTCCCTACAAGTTCAAGGCCAATTTGGCAATTCTCAGATTCAAACTTGGCCTCACTTTACGGGAGGCCAGACAGGGAGCAGGCTGACATGGGTTTTCTCTCACTACCCATCTTAACACTGTCCTTTGCTCTGCTCTGCTTCTCTCCCTCATATCCCTTCTAATCTGTCTACTCCCATTCCCTCTACATTCAAAGTAACTGCTGACATCTATCCTCATCCTCATGTCCCCACTACCCGTCTTCATTCAACTTTCTGCCAATACTCCTCCAACCTCCTTTTCTCTATCTGTACCATAACCCTATTCTTTCCTCATTATCCCTTACGCTCCCTCCTGGATCTTCATAAGACTGCTTTCTGTTGTAACAATATCTATCTCCGGATCCTCCCCTCCTGCTGGTTGTCCTGATATTTCACCTCTATCCCCTTGTCTCTTGTCTCATTCCGGGGTTCTCCTACTTCTTCGACACCCATTTCTACCCTTAATACCCACTGATTGCTTCATAATTGCTCTTTTGAACTTTTCCTTTGCAGTGTTCCTCATCCTTATATGTATTGATCACTCTTTGCTCTTAACCCTTCTTTCCCTTCTTACATATTCCCACTTTACTCCATTTGCTACCCTTCTTTACCCTTTTCACTACCCTACTATTGTATAGGTCTCCATGACCGTTGACATCTAACACAATTAAATCAATTTTATCCTTAAGGATAGCACTCAAGGATAAAATTTAGAAACTGAGAATTTACATGACAAAATTTTTACTCTAGGGATGTTTTGTTGTTAACAGCAACCTGACTGCTAAATGTCTAAGCACATATATGTATATATTTTTCCATTTCTTTTATTAAGAATCTGAAGAGGAAAAGGCAGATCTGAAGCAGGCTTACATTGATGGTGAGGGTGATATGAACTATATACTCGACAATGTATTGTGCTGCACCATTGAGGATGAACCAAGGTCAGTGATTTCAATTTCTTTCATTTCTTTCTTCCTTTTTTTCTTTTTCTCTTTTTCTGTGTGTGTGTGTATGTGTTTGTGTGTGCACATGCATGCACGCATGCAGGAGAGAGAAAGAGTGTGAAAGAATGAGAGTCAGTCTATCAGAATTTAAAGAGTTCATTGATTTGATCACATTTTAGTTTGCTTTAAATGAGCGCCTCATTGTACCAGACTTAAAGAAAAGTAGTAAATGTAACCTTAATCTGGCCAAGAGCAGTATTTCTCTGTTTGGGTTAAAATTGACCTGCCTGGGGGTTAGACTATGATCTCAAGAATTAAACATTGATTCATTAAGAGAGAAGGGGTATATCTAAGATACATTTCATCATGCTTAAGACTAAGTGAAAAAATGTAACTATGTTAAGTGATGGAGTTAAAATCAGAATTTGGGCTGAGAATCTCTGTTGATAAATTCTAAATTATTAATTGTAGATGATTAATACTTTCTGTAATCTAAAACATGCATTAGGTTCTTCTATTCATCAGCGGTCTAAAACAGTAACTGCATGGTGCCAATCAAATTCATACAAAACCCTCTAACTCTGTGACTTCGTTTTCTTGTCTTCCGATTACTAACATTTTCTATGGCAATACAGTATATTGTATACATAGGGCACAGTTTTGATAATTGTATTCAGTGTACAAGTTTGTATACTAGTCATCGTTCTCATAAATTACAATTATATTGTTTTTCTCTATCTCTCTATTTGTCAACCTATCTATCTCTTCCTCCTCCTCCTCCTCCTCCTCCTATTCTTCTCTCTCTCTCTCTCTCTCTCTC